CCCTTCCTCGTGTTGCACACCTCTGCCTCGACTGGTGCGCCCAGACATTGCATGTACAGCCTCGAGTATTGGAGTCGAGGCTTGGTAGAAGCGGCAGACAAGATCATAGGCTTGAAAAAAGGAAGCGGCGAAACGCGACCGCGCGTCCTTCCCACCAGCGCATTCTTCCATTCGTAAGTAAGAGAAAGGGGAAAAGAGACGAGGGTGCCGTGTGTGTGGAAGCGTGGCCGGTGCGATTCAAAGAGCGTTGCAAGCTGAGCTGACAGAATTTACTATCCCACGCTTGCACTCCCAGCTACACCGGCTATATGCTGTTGCAATTCATCGTGGGCCAACCAGTCGTGGTTGCTTTTCCCGCCAACAAGACTTCATGCACGGTGATCGAATGGCTAGAGCTCATAGCATCCTCCAACGCCGCCCACATGGCCACCTATCCGCAAGTGGCCTCGGACATGCTCAAAGTTGCCGAAGGCGCCGAGCGTTACGAGCGAGCTTTGCGAGATCTGCAAAGCTTTGCCGTCTTGGGAGCAGCGGTGGATGCGGATCTTGGGGATCGCTTCAAAGCGTTCGGCATCAAGGTCGCTTACAACCTGTACGGTCTCTCGGAGTTCGGTAGCGTGATGTTATCCGTTAGTCCACCCATGCGACTAGACACTTTGCTTCCGGTCCCTGGCGCAGCTGAATGGCTCGTCATGAGACCGGCCACGAAATCTCTGGGCGGCCAAACGCTAGAGTGGGAAGCTTGGAGCATCGTGGAGCGCAATCCCAAATTGGCGCTGAACGTGGCATTGGGAGGCATCAATGCTACCATTGAGCCTTATCCGGGCGAAGGACCGGACCAGGGCAAAGCCGCCTTGAACCTTTCGGACCTGTTCGAGCGAATAGAAGATCCGAAGAGCGGCGCGATCACTTGGAAATTGATCGGGAGGTCGAGCGATGTCATTGTCTGGGCCGACACGCTGAGCGCGAGCGCGGTGAGCATGGAAGCGAGACTTTTAAAGAGTCTCAGGGATCGTCTTCCACCCGAGACGATCGAAGCGCTTCAAGTCTTTGGCCTCGCAAGACCCTGGACCGCGCTCGTCATTCAGACTGGGGACCAGAATGCCGTCAGAAACGTTTTGCAGGATGTTTTGGACGAGTTCAACAAGACTCCACCTGCACCCATGGCCATCATCGACGCTGAAAGAGTCGTGTGCTTGCAAGATGGACTGGCTTTGACGCACAAGAGCACCGTTAGACGTCGGTACAATGAACGAGCCTTTGAGAGCTGGTTAGATAGCCTGTGAGAGGGTTGGCGCCCCAATGGAGAAAGTCGTCATGCACGCCACATCCCGATCTCACAAGCGCAGGGCATCAGCGCAATGTTGCTGGCATCTTTGTTTGGCTGTTCAAGCGGGTTAGGACTCGGATTCCACTCTCATTATTCAAGACGCAAGCGAAAGAGACGTGAAAAGCGATCACACGGTGTCAGCAGGCATGCCATCTCGAAGAAAGAGGCACGCAGAGTTCCTGGCTTTTCACGAAAAAAAGGCCGGAACCTGATCGGGAACTGGCTTGGCTTCAAGATTGATTCGATCCGACTTGAACTCGCGCAAACCTATTTTTTTTTTTTTTTTTTTTCTGCACGGAAAAGAAAATCGCAATCTTGTGAACAGCAAGAATGGGTGACAAGTTGACTCGCTGGTGAAGGGGGAATCTGGTGACGGCAAAAGGACCTTGACGTGAAGCGGCGCACATGACGGAAGAGCATCGACCAGGTGAATGCGATTCGAGTACGGTAAAGCGAAAGAGGAGAAGAGCTGTGATCGTGCGTCGTTTGGCAGACTCTTTTGCGATTGCACCCTTTTTTCTTTTTCTTTTTTTCTTTCTTGTCTTTTTTCTGCTGTGCGAACGACCGAGCTATGCTCGCTAGGGTCCGCAAGGAAGAGCGCAAAGGGGCCAATCGACGGATCGGAGCGCTGCGCTTCGTGATTCAAAAGTCTGCCTTGTAGAGACTTGGTGGCAGAGAAGGCAGCCTGGTGGAAGGTGTGATCTCGAAAGCCGGCGTGCTTCCTTGCCGGCGCTCGATCGAGATACTGTCCGCATGCATCTGACCCAAACGATGATGTTGCCCGTTGTCTTCGCACCACCGATCCGCGCCTCGCAAAGTCTCTACGTACTGCGTGGGCGAGCGACTCCTGCTCCAATTGATCGCAGCAGCAGCTTCTTTGCGTTCTTGCTCCTCCTCGATGGATCTGCTGAAACTGGTTGGAAGGGTATTGCTAGGTCTAGCATGTGGACGAGCAGGAGCGGTAGCAAAGGGAGAAGCGGAAGCGGAAGCGCAAGCTTGTTTGGATGAAGCTTCCATGCTGCTCAGGTAATCGTCTGCGAAAATGTTGGGAACGGCTTGAGGAGGTTTGAGCCTGCTGGGATCAAAGACGATTCTAGCGGCTACGATTGCAGTTCCCACGATGCCGATAGGGGTGGGCAAGTGCGACAAGACGGGATCATTCACTGCTAGCTGCACCACGAAGCAGGTGGTGTTTGCGACAAATACGATGGAGAACCATAGCAAGTTGCTGCGCAGCACGAACCTGTGCATTTCGTTTTTGGGCAGTCTGTTGCCTCCTGGAAGAGGCGCTTGCAATCGGTGCACCTTCCAGAGCGTCATGAAGAGCAC